AATAAAATATTATTTAATGGGTGCCTGGGATTTAGCTCAGCAGGCAGAAGCACCTGCCTGAGAAATGCTAGGTTGTGAGTTTGATCCCTGGTACCTAAAAAGAAAGTGTTTTAAACTTCAATGAAAGAAAACAATTTCATTGAAGATGTAGATTAACAAGATTTTTAATTAAATATCTCAGTGGCAAATTAAACATTGGTAACAGTCATATTTAGAATCTAAAGATGATGGGCTGTGTATTGAGCTCAGTGGTCAAAGCACCTGCCTGACAAGCACAAGGTCAGGAGTTCAATCCCTGGTACCAAAGAAAAATCTACAGTTGTCAACCACCATGTAGTGCTATAGTGAGCACAACTATTGAAATTGATAGTTGTTCATTAAAAAGCTCAATGTTTCTTTTGTCGTCTATGAAGTACCTACAAATAACATGGTAACTACAATGAATAATACACTGTGCACTATAGCATTGCTATTTGCTGAGAGATGCTTTTATTTTTCCCCACATAGTTGAAAGATGAAAATGATTGGTGATGATAGAGAAACAGTGATAATAATTTTTCAATTTTGTTGGGTATTTCACTACACCCATTAAGTACATTTTATTTGCTACAATTATGCTAAGTGAAATAAATAAATAATTCTTAATGTCACAGGCAGCTGTGTTAGTTAGAAATATAGGCAGTCAGATAGTGATATAATGGAATGAAACTCCTGACCTACTGTGTCTGGTAGGAGTTTGTGTTCTATAAAATAGAAGAATGAATTTTAGGAACAATGGAAGTGAAGAGCAGAATATAACTACTGAGAGAAAAAAGTGAAACATTTTTTGCTCTAGATAGGATATTATAGCAGTGGGAAGCAGGCCAGGGGACATTTACCCTGAGGTCACTTACCTCTCCCTTAGGCAACTTACCTGTGGCATGCAAAGAGTCCCTATCAGCTACTGGCACATCAGCAATGCCACCTTTAAGCACCACCGCAGTCAAAAAGTAGATATGAGCCCTCTCACCATATATCCAGCAGAAAAAGGCAGATGTCCCGTGGTCACGTGGTACTCTCTACCTTCTACGAATAAAGGCCATTTTTACTTTATATTCTCTCCTTTACCACAGCGAAAATCCTATCAGAAAGCTTCTGTCTGAGAGAACAGGAAGGGTCATAAGTGGGTTGTCAAGGACTCTGTATCTTCTAGGGACTTTATAGAATAAAATCATGGGGTGAGATGAGTTTAAGGTGGGGAAAATTGGGAACTCACAAGGCAGATGGGCATAACTTTGGACAGAACTATGTTTAGCCAATATAATTAATAGTTATAATTATAATTAATAGGCAAAATCATTTACACTGCAGACAAATGGGGAAGCAAGGTCATAGCAGGCATTTTACAGAGCTGTAACCCTCCTCTATGGGATTGGGAGGGTGACTCCTGACTTCAGCAGGGTGACAGGGAACTATTTAGAAAATCAATTCTTAGGATATAGATGAATTTGCTTGGTATTTTCTCTTGAGCCCTGTCCCGTAACAGGAGGTATCTGTCTCCCATAGCTGCAAGGTATGTGGGCTTCTGAGCTGGCCACTTCGAGGACCTGATTCTGTCTCCCTGGCTCTATATTTCTAACTCAGCTGCCTATAACAACAGGGCTGGCCCCTCAAAGGAGCCAGAAAATAAGTTCAGATTGCTTGCAGGATTGGAAGAGACAATCACCTCCTGCTGTGGGCCAAATCTCAAAACAAAAGGTAAATTAAATACAACCAAGTGCTAAGGACCAACAGTCCAAATAGTTCTCTGATCACCCTGAGGAACTCAAGAGCCCCCATCCCAATCCTCTAAAAGAAGAGTCTCTGCTCTTAAACCTGCCCACTTTCTATGACTTGCTCTCCCATTTGCTCCCAATTTAATCAATTTTACCTGAGCAATTAACCTTATTGGTTGACCACATTTCTACTCAGCCTTAGGCTTAACTTTCTGATTCCCATTTTCCCCTCCCCTGAACCCATCTAACCTCATGATTTAACTCTATACAAGTTCCTCAAAAAGACGGTCTTTGGCAACCCACTCAGACCCTTCCTGTCTCTCAGACAGAAGCTTTCCTTCTCCCAATAAATATATTCCACTGTTAAATGCCATCATTCCTAAAATTCATTCTTCAATTTTAGAGAACACAAACTCATACCAGATATATACTAGGTAAGGAGTTTCATTCCTCTATACCATTAACATGAGCCAAATTAACATGACTATACTTTTATAATGTCTGAAATTTGTTCCTTTTCCTGCACTTTCAAGTGATTAATACAACTAACAGTGATTATAGTCCTGGCAACATCTAAAATTGTATACAACAGTCAGTATAAGTGTAAAATAATTGCTTTGATTGTATTATTTATCAAGACATAGACTTTGCCATGACACTAGGCTATATCTTAAAAAAGAGAAGGTTCGCCTGTCTTGTAAGCAGGCAGTCGTGAGTTCGATCCCTGGTACCGATAAAAATGAAAAAGACAAAAAAAAAAAAAAAAAAGAGAGAAGGTTCACCAATAATTGTTCAGAAAAATTTCAACACTATTGGCTGCTTGAACAATTTTTAATTAGATAAACTGTGTATTTTTTCAGTTTCTAGAAGGCTTCTATTATATTACTGAAAGGACCTTGACTATATTTTGATGCATAATTCTGTTTTGAAACTTGTATGAAGATTTATTTTTATCTTAGGAGTAAGCTCACTGCATTGACACTGATAGAGTGAAGCAAAAGCCCACTGCATTGATTTCCACTGGATACTCATGGCATAGAGCATGTGAATTACTGAGGAGGTAAATTAGCTTCATACATAGACACGAATCAGTACTGTTATGATTTTTTGGCCCAATAGAGAAGCACAATGATAGGATTATTTCTAAAAGATGAAAAATATTTCCAAAAATGAGAAGTATAAAATGAAAAGAGGTCTTTATTCTGAGAACATGGAGAGAGATGACTGGCACCCCCACCTCTGGAGTCGGGTGATCTCTCTGGCAGACATGTGGGGTGGGGGTATGTAAGGAGACTCGGTTTGGGGTGGAAACTAAGGAGGGCATTGTGGATGCACAGGTAGCCCATTGGTCCTAGGTTTGGCCCCATAGGTAAATTTCCAGGGGTGGGAAGATGGCATCACAGGTAAATTCCTAGAGGCAGGGAGATAGGGACTTCCTGCTTACGGTTGATGGTTTCCTGGCTACAAAGTCCTGTCTGGGCCAAAACCCTTTCACAGAATATAAGAAAAAGTAGAAGTGTCCTTTCTATTTAAAGAATGTGGAGAGGAGCCTAAAGCCACCAAGGGTTTGCCTTTTTTTTTTTCTGATGGATTATGGGATTATAGGCTATATTTGAAATTTGGTGGTGTTGGCACTGACACTGATATCATGTAAGGAGCTGATTGGAATTTTCTTTTGGCCCCTTGGAAAGGAATGAGGAAGTTGTATTCAGAAAAAAAAGAGGAAGTAGCCATATGGGTAAGCATCCCTGATTTGTGTTCATCCTTTCACCCCGATGAACTCCCTCCATGATGCCCTGTAATTTATTCTAGGGCAAAACTCTTTAAAGTGCATCCTTTAAGTTTAAATTAAGAAATGAAAATAAAGAATTTTTGCTATGTGTCTTCTCCCTTGGTTAGTGGTAAACAATTCACAAGGAAAGTATCCCATCATTTCCTTAATGCATTGTAGATAGCATAAACAAAACTACAGATCAGTTCACTTTCAGAAGACAGAAGCAGCACTAAAAGGCAGGGATAAACCCCTTCAATGCAAATGTCCCTTAAGGGTTGAGATCAACATTTAGGATTACAATCATGTACAGATTTCTCTGACTTCAAGAAAGAGAAAAATTTACACTGTTATTGCAATAGGTCAATGAAACTCCAGGTCTACTATGTCTGGTTTGAGTTTGTGTTCTCTGAAATCAAAAAATGAATTTTAGAAAAAATAGAAGTCAAGATAATATAATTATTGGGAGAAAGAAAGCTGTGTGAGAGAGAGCAAATGTGTCCTGACTGGGTTGGAAAAGACTGTCTTTTCCAAGGACTTTTATAGAGTAAAATCAGGTGGTGAGTTGGGTGGAAGGTTGGGAAAACTGGGAACTCACAATGCAGATGGGCATAAGATGGGAGAGAGCTATGGTAGCCAATAAGATAAACAGTTCAGGTAAAGTTGATTAAATTGGGAACAAAGGGGGAAGGGAGTCACACAGAAAGCAGGCATTCTTAGGCAGCAGTGAATCTTCCCTTAGGGTTTTGGGAGGGTGACTCCTTATTCATCAGGATGATAGGAACTATTTAGAATGTCAGTCTTTAGGATAAATATACATTTCTTTGAATGGTGACTCCTGACTTCCTCAGAGTGCTTGGGAACTATTTAGAATATCAGTCCTTAGGATATGGATGAATTTGTTGATCTTCCATAGCAGGAGTTGTCCATCTTTTCCATAGTTGCAATGTATCTGGGTTTCTGCATGGGCTCCTCAGAGGACCTAGCCCTGTCTCATTGCTAATCATAATTAACTAACTCAGCTCCACACAATAGTAGTTTTAGGAAAATTGAATACAGATGTCTCGTGCTCTGGGTGAATGATCCGGGATAACAGTGTGCAATATATATACCAGTGTTGCCCCCTGATTCACATGTTTTGAAATTTAGTTTTAGTTCATTTTTTCTTTTTATTCTTGAAATGAAATGGATTTGGAAATAAAAAGCTGAGGGAAGATAATTTGGTACACATATTCCTCTGTGTAGCTGAGATCAATACTGTTGAAGACAACCAGCTACAGAAGTCTCTGACTACTGTCTATCATTTGGGATCCTCTCTTGCAGGAAGGAATTCCTTTCCCTGTTTGTTTTTGACTCAGAAGGAGGAAAGTAGAGCAGCAGTCAATCACTGATGAAGAGGCGGGCTATATGAAATGTCCAATCATGTGAGCCATGGCAGGAGGTCTCTTGGGTCTCTTCCGGTGTGTAGACATTGTTTACCTGTTTGGAATACAAAACTGGGAGCAGAATGCTTGCTGGATTTCATTTACTGGTTTCGATGTCCTGTGGCCTGATTAGCAAAGAACGTGGGAGACACTCTAGCTACGGAATGGTGAGGCTTTGGATCGGAGCCCAGAAATAGGGGAGAAAACAGTTACAAGTAGTTAGAAGCAGTTCTGGTATCTGTAGACTCAGGTATTTAGTTAACTTCAGCTCCTGAGGTCTTCTAGCATTGGCCTTGGGTCATCCACTTTCCCTTTTTTCTCCTGCTGGGAGCAAGGATGATTTTGTGTTCCCAGAACTCTGAATTAACTATGATATCAACAGACTGGAGTATCATCTTTGAAATTTTTACTGCCCTGGCACCTCCACCATAGGGAGCAGAGGAAGGAGCTTGGGAAGACCCTGACTCTGATGCATTTTGTAGCTGGAGCAGCAGTACTGAGCTTGGTCTCTGCTCTCATTCCAGGGATCAGCAATCTTGATGTTCTAAAGTTTATAAATGTATGTAATGTAATACAGGGCCTCATATCCACAACGGCACTCTTTAAACTTGTACTTTCTTGTATTTATAGGAATTGCCTAAATTTATGGTATGTTCTCACATTTCCAACCTCATGACAGGTGTTGGCAAAATCATGAGAATTCAGAGATGTGTAGTGATGTGCTTCAGTGGAGGAACTTTCCAAACACGGGGTGAACTCCTGTGTACTATAAATAACAGTGCAAAGAATTTCTGAACATACTTTATGTGACACGTGCTCATAGACTATCTTTGTGAGAACAGCCATAGAGGTTTGAATTTTGAGAAAAATGAAGCAGATATAAAAGTGTCATCAAGGGCAGGATAAAGTGTGCTTGCTAAGGACAAATTCCAGAAAGGGCTGCCTGTGAAATTCTCACTGAAAAATGCCTAAATGTAGTCATTTGCATGAACATATACAAGTGATATCTTTCTGAATGGAAAGGAATACGGGTGTCATCTTTGAATTAAGAGCTGATTTAATAGCTTGGTTGATCATATACATTGTTTAAATATGGAAATGCTCTGTAATGGACTTTACTAATTCCTGTAAAGGAGATGCCCTAAATTGAAATTGTGCAGGGATATCAATAGTTTAGGCATGAAGGGTTTCCGGCTTAGGGTAGATCAGACAAGCATGGAAAGGATGTGGAAGTGACCAGTAGGACACAGTGTGCAAATAGGAGGACATACAACAGAGAGGGTCTTCACTGAAAGTCAGGTAGTTCTTAGGGTAAGCATGAAGTTAAAGTTGTCTTATGATATCTTCCTTGAGGTGAGTAACAATGCTCTGGTAACAATCAGTATTCCACATCCCGGTCAACCCATGAATTCTGTGTTCTCCACTTGAGATCTAGTTTTGACTAGCTCTATGACCCAGTATCATGAAAGTGAAATTTGAATGTTTTTTTTGTACCAAGGATCGAACTCATGATCTCAAGCTTGCCAGTTAGGCTTTTATGCTGCTGAGCTAAATACCCAGCTCTGAAAGTGCTTTCTGTATATTATGGATAATATCAACCTTGTTCCTCAGAAAATGTTGAATATTTTGGAATTTTTCTATATTGTATGGGTATAATTTTTTGAAGCAAACCAAAGGTGTCTTATGCAGTCACTTTTCAAGTTTCACATTGTCTGTCGGGTGTCTCAGTCAGGGTTTCTCTATTTCAGACAGCTCTATAACTTAGGCTAGCCCCAAACTCAAGGCAGTTCTCCTGCATCAGCCTCCCAAGATGTATTTCTTATATCTGAATGGAAAGTGATCACTTGTTGACACTGAGCTATAATTTGAAGCTTGCACCTGGTTTCATTGTTTATAAGTTTTTTACATACAGCAGATTTCCATGAACATTTGAGTTATTATTTATGTACCATATTTGATGTTATTTATGTTTTGTTCTGTGAAACCAAATTCAAATATCAAAATGATGCTTAAGTATATTAAGAACAAAGGACTCAGTGGCCTAACTGAGATTTGAAGAGATATCATTTGTAGTACATCAAAGTGATTGATGAGATACTTGTCTGCCTCTGTGCTTTATGGATGCTGGTCTTGCAGGCTCTCACTATGAGCTCTGCATTAGAGACAGTGCACAGCAACTCTTGCAGTGACGCAGCACAAGAATCAATGCTCCTATGTGTCTGTTACATTAGCGGTGAGTTGCAATATAGCATCAAATTTGCTGTCTCAAAAAATGTGTATATACAAAAAATTAATCCCCAAGATAAGGAACTAAGATTTGAAGAAATCAGTCTGTTTTGTTTGGTTTTGTTTTCTCTATGTATATCAGCTAGGTTTGAACCCCTTATGGAGCGCAGAATTGCCCTAATCTCAAAGCAGCACTCCTGTGTCAGCGTCTTGAGTGCTGGGATTATAGATATGTGTGTTTTTACCCTAGAAAATATTGAGGCTTGTAACTTAGCTGTGTTGTAGCTTGTCATAATAGATGCCATCTTGAGCTTTGCATTTAACTAGTGCCCTGTATTTCACCCAGAAAAATGGAAACTCACTCAGGGTAGAAGTCCCAGGAGAAAAGCAAAATGAGCTGTACACAAAGAAAAAATTTAACCTGCTCAACAAAAGAGGCAGAATACAGTTGTCATCCAAATATTATTATAAGATTCTAGTTAAATGGTTTCCAACAGTTCTTTTTGTGATTCTATCTTTTAAAACATCTCTGACTTTCCAGTTCAAAGCGTGTTGTTTAGATCTTGAAATGGGGGTAGGAGTTCTGTATACAAGTGGTCCTGAGACCAGCTAATGAAATTCCACATTTCTCAATTGGGTTGCTTGGTTCCCTATGTTGTTGTTCACAAACTCAACTCAAGCTGCAGAAACTTTTACTGACACAAGCAAACACCAGCGTTAAATGACAGTGCCACTGAAATGAAAGAATAATTGTGAAAAGGAGAGGAGAAAAAAGACAAACACCATGTGCTATAATGCCACCTCTTTTACCAAGCAATCAAAAAGCTGAAACAGGAGAATAGCCATGTATTCAAGGACAGCCTAACCTACATAGTGAGTGCAAGGCTGGCTGGAACTCCAAAGTGAGATTATGTCTTTAAATCAAAAAACTAAAATGAAAAAAATAAACAACCAAGGAAACAGAAAGACTATTAAAAAAAAAAAAAACAATAATAGAGCTGAGTTTGTTTTGTTTTGTTTTGTTTTGTTTTGTTTTGTTTTGTAGTTCTGTATTGTGTGTACCCTTACGCCGCTTTGGTTTGTTTTGTGATTTTCTCTTTTTCCTCTTAAATAAAAAAAAAAATAATAGAGCTGAGTGAAAGTTGACTTATGCAAAATGGGAGTTATTGAATGATGATGCCGAGGAAGGAATGCCATGTAGTAGCATCCAAGAGACAGTTACAAACACAGACTTCGGAATGGCACCTATTGTGCTACAGCACAACTGTGACCTCCTTCCTCCAATGCATTTGCACTTCACTAGACTGAGGACTTCTAAAAGCTCATGGAAATGTTAAGCTCATGGCAAACAAGGAGCTTGAAATCCAGGCTTTGTAACATGGCCTTTAGCAGACATTTCATATTTAAATTGAAATAAGAGAAATATAATTCTGCCCTGTTTGATGTCAAATGCACAAAGTTTAATGGCTCACAGCATTGGGAAAGGAAGTCACAAACCAAAAGAAGTTCAAAAATTTTCTTAGAAAAAAGAGAGAAGAATAGCCCTGAATTTTCAGGAGTGGTCTTCGGTTTTTTGGCCACAGACCTATTGACAGAGGTCATTTATACAGGAAAGTCACAATGTGGATACAGTGTGGGTCTCAGACTACAATCAAACTATAAGCTTATAGCTTCTTAACTAATATTATTCAGCAGGGGAACAAATCAGCCAGAAAAGGTATGTGGAAAGAGCCAAGGCATTTTGTGGGAACAATAGTCCAGTTCTGGTCATTGAGTATAGTAATTGATGCCTATCTGAACTTCCTGGAGGAGGTGGTGGTAACTGTAGTACATTTCAAGCTGTTGTTTTTCTCTTCAGGAGTATGTAGACATGGTCACTGCATCTTCTCCTTCAGGTCTGGCTTTCTTCAGCTGTGCCTGTAGCAGTGATTGTTGTATTTAGTTTTTTACATTGACTCTTTGAGGTTCCAGTTTCTCTCTGATTGTATATCAATTTCTGTCTACATGGACATCCTTTGCTAAAATCACAATAGTATTTGAATGAATAAAGTGATGTTTATACATTTAAAAATATTCATTAGTACAGGCCAGGGATTTAGCTCAGCAGGCAGAAATACCTGCCTGGAAAGTGCTAGGTTGTAACTTTGATCCCTATTACCTGTAAACAAAAGTAATTTAAACTTCAAGGAAAGAAAATAATTTCATTTGTGAAAATGTAAATTTACAAAATTTATAACTAAATATGTCAATGGCAAATTAAACATTGTTAGTAGTCATATTTAGTATCTAAATTTGTTGGAGCTGGGGATTGAGCTCAGTGATACCAGGAGCTGAATGGAGAGAACAAGGTCATGAGTTCAATCCCTAATACAAAAAAAAATTCACAGTTGTCAACGATGCAGTGCTGTGAGCACATTTATTGAAACTGATACTAGTTAATTAATAGGCTCAATGTTTCTTTTGTGGTCTGCGAAATACCTGCAGATAGCATGACAATTACAGTGAATGATGTCCTGTCCCCTATAGGTTGCTATTTTCTGAGTTGTTTTTATTTTTTGTTTTCCCAGATACTTGAAAGTTGATAATGTTGGCTGATGCTAGCTAGAAAAACTGTGATAATCATTTTTTCAATTTAATGATATATTTCCCTATATCCATTAAGAACATTTTATTTGCTACAATTACTCCAAGTCAAATTGATAAACAATTCTTAAAGTTACAGGCAGCTGAGTTAGAAACACATGCAGCCATACCGTGATAAAGTGGAATGAAATTTCTGACCTTCTATGTCTGGTATGAGTTTGTGTTCTCCAAGGTGCAAGAAAGAATTTTAGGAACAACAGAGTTGAAGAGCAGAATATATTTACTGAGAGAAAGAAAGTGAAAGTATTTGGCTCTAAATAGGACATTTTGGAAGAGGGAGGTGGAACCAGGGGACTTT